GGACGGAGGGGGAATCGGAGGAGGAGGGGGATGATAAGGAGGAGGAGGAGGAAGAGGAGGGGGAGGAGGGAGGAGGGAGGAGGGAGGAGGGAGGAGGGAGGAGGGATGATGATGATGATGATGATGATGATGATGATGATGATGAGGAGGAGGGAGGAGGGAGGAGGAGGAGGAGGAGGAGGATGAGGAGGAGGAGGAGGAGGAGCATGCGGATGAGGAGGAGGAGGAGGGCGAGCAGAAAGGCCAGAGACCTATTGGATGTCTATCGGAGTCTCTCCGGATGTCTGTTGAGAGTTTCTTGGAGCTCTTTTGGAACGTCTTCTGGGCCTCTTGGCGTCCCCGGAGGCCTTTTGGAGCGTCGTGGGTGCCTCGGGGGAGCCTCTTGGGGGCCTCTTAAGGGTCTCCTGGGAGCCTCTTGGGGACCTCTTGGGGGGGCCTCTTGGGGCCTCCTCGGCGCCTCTTGGGGCCTTCTTGGGGTACTCTTGGGAGCCTTAGAGCCCTCTTGGAGCCATCTCCAAGGACATCAATGAAAGAAGAGGGGGTGGTCAATTAGTTCTGCCTTTCGTGGAGCCCCAACTGAAGTAGCCTCCTGGACCTCGCTTGGAGCACTCTTGGGCGCCCTTGGGGCTGTCTTGGGACCTTTTTGTGCTCCTCTTGGGGCTCCCTTAGCCCATCTTGGGGCCTCGGAGGGCACTCGATCGCGAAATGGCGAGAAGGCATACACACTGAGGCCCCTTAGGTTTGGGACGGATTTTGGCCTCTCTGAGGCGTCCTTGGAGAGCTCCGAGGCCACTTGGAGCCATCTTCGGGCGATCTTGGGCCCCTCGGAGCCTGCTGGAAGCCACCTTGCGCCATCGTGGAGGTCATCTTCTGCTTTTTCTGAGGCCCTCTTGAAGCCGTACGTCTTGCGTCGCCTTGGACGCCCAGACCGCGCGCGCCTCCCCCCCCCCCGACCAGGTCCAGGGGGGGGGGCAGAAGGGGGAGGGCCCGCGGCCCGTTCCCGTCCGTCGCCGCCGCCCCGCGGCACCCCTCCCCCGATGTTGCCACCTGCACTGCTCTGCGCTGCCTCGCGCTGCCTGGCATGGCTCTGCATTGCGCTGCACTGCGCTGCATTGCTCTGCAGCGCACTCCTTGGCGCTGCTTCGCACTGCCCGTCATTGCGCTGTACGGCATTGCTCTGCGCTGCTCTGCGTTGCATTGCTGCGCGTTGCTTTCCACTGCTGTGATTTGCTTTGCTCTGCGTTCCGTTGCTTTGCGTTACACCGTGTTCAGTGCGTTGCATATTGCGTTGCACTGCGTTCCATTGCGTTGCATTGTTTTCTACTGCTTTGCAATGCTCTGCATTGTGTTGCATTGCTCTGCACTGCTGTGGGTAAGTCCGCACTGCATCGCATTGGTTTGCACCACGCAGAGGGCACCACATGGATTGCACCACATAGATTGGACCACATGGATTGCACCACTTAGATTGCACCGCTTAGATTGCAACGCATTGCTGTCTGGGGTCCACGCTGGCTAACACGTCCCACAGCGAGATCTCTTAACACATGCAGCAGTGTGCCGCTCTACGTGCCCTCGTCCTCGCTCCTCCTTCATGTGGCCCTCGTCGTACCTTCTCGCACCCACCGCGCCTCGCTGACGCCCCCCGATCTCGCTCCTCGTGCCCTCCTCCCTCGCCCCTCGTGCTCGCTCATCGCACTCGTCGTCCTCGCTTCTCGTGCTCGTCCTTCCGACTCCTCGTGCTCTCCTCGTCTGGCTTCCCCGTGCCCCTCGCCCTCGCCTCCCATGCCCGCTGCTCACGTCTGATTCTTCGGAAGTCCGTTTGCCTGTTTTTCGGGGGGGGGGGGCATGATCCTTTCGTTTCTGAGTGTTCTGTCCTGGGAGGTGCGCTCTCGACCCGCGAATCAAAAAAGTGTTCTGTCCTGGGCCTCTTCTTGGCCACTGGGGCCAGGAACGATTAGAAACGAGCACACTTAGAAACGAGCACGATTGGAAATGAACGACGTGTACCCATCGCTCTTGTGACATACATTCCCCGTGCTCATCCCTGGGACTCGCCGTCCTCCGTCCTCGTACTCTCCCCCCCATGGCGGCCCCCCCTTTTGGAGGCCCAAGTGCGGCACCTGCTACGTCGCGGTGGTCATGTGACTGTGAAAAGACATTCGTCTACTGGGTCTAGGCGGGCGTTCTGCTTGAGATGTCTCCGCGATCTGGGCGCGACCAGGTCTGTGATACACGCCGCGGTGGCTTCTCCATCGGGCGGGCCACATGCGATTACCTGTACGTCGCGGTGATCACGGGGTTCTGGAAATATATTTGTTTATCGAGCCGCAGCAGGCGTTCTGCCGGACAGGTTCCTGTAGTAACTTGTGCGTCAGCGAGGCTGGTATCTACCCGCTGGCGGTTTCCCCTTGGGGGGCTCGTCTCTTGGGTCAAAGCGGGATCTGATTATGAGTGAGAGTGGCTGTGGATGATCTTTGTGCGAGGGAGGCTGAGTGTGGATGTGTCTGGGCATGAGAGAGTCTCAGCGTGACGGGGCCTGACCAAGAGTGGAGCTGAGTGTCAGTAGGTTTGGCTACGAGAGAATCGGAGTATGGATCTGAGCGCCTGGTTATGAATGAGTGACCTGAGTATGAGCATGAGTCTGCGCGTGAGTCAACCTGAGTGTGAATGTGTCTGAGTTTGGAAGAGTCTGAGTATGAATGAATATGCGTACGAGCGTGTCCGAGTATGAGTATGTCTGCAGGTGGGGGAATGGAGAGTTGCGAGGTGAATTGGGGAGATGGGGATGTCACACGAATGACGATCACCCCACATCGGGGATATGGCGAAAGGGATACGTGATCCCTCCTCCGCCTTCCTTGTGAGCTCTTCCCGTGAGGGCAACATGTGCAAGCGCCGAACGCAGACCCCGAAATAGTACGCACTCGTGAGCTGTTTGTCGTTCCTCGTTCCCTCCCAATGTCCTTTCGTTTGTTTCAAGGCGGAATATGACACCCCCGCCTCAATGATTGGGGCGCTCACCGAACCGTCCTTGGCGTTCACTGAGCAGTTAGGCCCTGTTCGATTCCTGCCTCATGCGAGGTTACTACAGGGCTTTGTTTTTAGTAGGGTCGCAGGCAACGTAAGGCGGGGTAGGCTTATGGGGGGATGCATGATGCTCGTAGGCGGCGAAATGCCAGCGTTAGCGGTGCACCGCCTGGAGGGTGGTGCAGCGTCCACGGATGGCGGCATCCAAGATCTGATTGTCGTTGCGCATAGCGTATCCAGCTGCCTGCGGAGAACCCCGCCACCGTGCCAGTGCAGTAGCGCTGCGTGAAGGAGCTTGAGTTTAAGACCCATTTTTCGACTGTCTGGGGGGCGTCTGAGGGCTCTATGTGGCACCAGTTTTCAGCCGTCTTCGGGGCTTCTTGAGGCTCTCTGCTCTCTGAAGGTACCTCGGGGCGATCTGTCGCTAAAAGGCCCAGGGAGCAAACAACATTGATCGTCTGTAGGTGTTCAACTATTTTCGCCTCTTCGGGCCTCGCTGGAGGCATATTTCGGACTCTGTCGACCATCTTTGAACTTGTCCTGGGACTTCTTGCAGTCGTGTTGGGCAGCTGTTTTGGAGCCGTATGGAGGCCGAAAAGGCACCAGAAAGCCAGGGGTGGTTTTCTCAGGGTGGGCTCTGGGGGGGGGGGGGGTCGGCCACAGGAACGCTAAAGAAGCACTGCCAGGCAACCGGGGACCATCCTCACACGCCCCACCAGGCCTAGCTGCGGCACGGTGGCGGACGACGGCAAGGCTGAGAGCCCAGACCCCCGACGTTTTGATTTTTTCACAACGTCGACCCCCAGAGGTCTAGACCCCTTCCTCGGGACGGGGCTCGTGCGGGGACGCGGGAGCACGCCGGCCGGGCGGCCGCTCCCGCGCCGTGCGCGCGGGGGCAGCGCGGAGGTGCGCGGCCGGCCACAGACGGAGCCCCCGTCTTTTTTTGGCTGTCCTCGCCGCGGGGGGGAGGCCGGGAGCAGGAGGGGTCGTCGACCCAGACGCCCGACGGGCTGCTTTTTTCGTCGCTCCGTGGCCCTCACAGAGGGCCCGGCAGCTTCCCCAGGAGGTGCTACATGTCGCCCCCGGTCTGCTCGTGGTGGCCCCGGGGCTCGCGGTGGGCCCTCATAGGTCGGGCGTTTCCCCCTGTAGGCGGATTTTGGACAAAAAGTTCAGAATATACAAATGCAAAACACGATTCAAAAGTATGCAAAAAATCGTCTCCAGGCCAGTTCTTCATTATTTGTTTGGACATCTCCTCCTGTAGAGGGACATGCCCGACTCAACTCGAGAGCGGCCCGAGGAAGAGGGCCCGCGTGGAACGGGCACCACATCGTCGGGGATCGGCCTCGCAGAGGGGGCCGATGCACCGCCGACGTCGCCGATGCATCGGCGATGCATCGGCGATGCGGCGCTATCCACCGACCCCATTGGCTCGGATCCCAGCCGGGTTACCTCTCTGTTTTTGGTGGCCCCCTAGGGCCCGACCGCGGCCCGAGGAGCGGCGCATGGACGGAGCAGCAGCCACATCGCTCCGGCGCTGCGCGAGGGGGGGGGGCGATCCATGGGGAGGTGAGCAGAGGTGCACCATCTGTACCCTGAACGGGGGCCCGAAAGGGGACTCCTGAGGCCCAAGAGGGGCGCGAGAGGGGCACGCTTCTACCCCGCCCCCGCACCGGATCGCCCCCCCACCCCCCTTGAGTTAAGTCGGGCCTGTGCCTCTACAGGAGGAATGTTCAAAAATAGTCAGAACATAGTCTGTGGACTATTTTGCTAGTATTTTTGAAAACCTGTTGAATCTATTTTTGAGTTTTTTTAATGTTTGTGCCGACATCCGCCTGTATGAGGACACGCCCGACCTAACCCTTGAGCACAACGCCCGAATCGTCCCTGACATCTTGTGGCTCTGTTGTTTACAAGACGGCGGTTCTTGCATTGTTTTTTCAAGACGATTGAAAAAAAAAACAAGACATTTGCGATGTCTCGTTTTTTGGTTTTTAGGCGCCCTCCCGATCGCCGACGTCGGCGATATCGGGAGGGCGAGGCTGCGCCCCTGGGGGCAGGGCGGACCGGGCGGCGCCCCACGGCAGGCCCCGCGGCAGCCGCTCCCCGGGGGCGTGCCGCGTGGGCGCGCGGCCCCCCACTCGCGCGCGGCGTGCGGGCGCGGCGCGGCGCCGTGCCCGCGCACTCTCGGGGCGCCTCCTCCTCCTCCTCCTCCTCCTTCTCCTCCTCCAGCCGTTCTGGCCCAGTTTTGGGCTTGCAAGTGCCGTCTTCAGAGCGGTAATCGCACTTGCGGGTCTTTTTGGTTCGTCACGAGTCAGTTTGCGGGATCTCAACCCGCCGCATTCAGTGAGCTCCTGCAGGAGCGTTCATGGTGGATCCAGATGTCCTACCAGGCCCGAGGGAGCCGAAGTGGGGCTGTCACAGCTGCGGACGCAATGCGAACTTTGCGAGCCGCATCAGGTGTCAGTGCGGACAGTCGGCGCCGCGTAGCATCATCGACAGGGCGAAGAAGCGGGCTGAGGAGCACAAGCAGAAGTCGTCATCGTGTGGCGAGGCTGTGCAGCGTCCTCCGCGTGGTGCTTGGGCTCGTGGTCCTCCTGTTCATGACAAGGGAGTTAACAAGCATATCAGCCAGCTTCAGAAAAAGATGGATCAGTTTGTCAAGCAGTTCGGAGCTGCAGGTGGCAACCAACGTCAGCAGCCTGACGCAGCAGCCACCAGCGGTGACAGTAATGTGGAGGTGCCCGCTGATGACGCAGGTCGGCAAATGTTGGCACGTGTCAAATCACTCGAGGCCACTCTCAATGCAGTGCGGAATGATGATGCATTCCCGTCCGCAGTCAAGGAGACGCTGGAGAAGGAGCTCAAAGATGCCAGGGCTCAACTCAACAGCCAGAAGCCGTCGCTCTCGCGCCACACCTCGTTGGGGCACAAGCTTCAGCGGACCCAGCAGAAGCTCGACAAGCAGGAGGAGGACATCAAGGTCCAAGGGGCCCTCATCAAGGCAGCGCAGGAGGAGCTGGAGGCCATGCAGGCCAAGGCTCGGCAGCTGCGCGTTGATGTGGAGGCCACGAAGGTTGAGCTGCAGACGACCATGTCGATGGTGGTTCCTCCTGCGGCCCCGTCTTTCGAGCTCAAAGCCGAGACGGTGCAGAGCGACCCCGAGGTGCAGCAGCTCATGTCCTCGGCCGTCTTCGGCAAGTACAAGGCGCTTTTGCAGGCTCAGCTTCGGGCAGAGGCTGCACAATCCCAATCTCCTCCCCCTCCTGCTTCAGCGGGCCCTGCCCAGGAGAGTAAGGTGGGAGGAGGTAGTGGTGGGGATGAGCATGCCAACATACCCGTCCCAGCAGATATGGATTTGGATGAGTTGGATGCAGAAGACGTTGAGAAGTTGTTCATGGCGGCTCAGGCCGAGGGCCCAGACAACAAGCGTGTTTTCGAAGATATGGTCAAAAACCTGGGGATCATGGCCAAGAAACAAAAGTGTGGGTGACACTATGTTCCAGCGCCCTGCCCCCAAGCGTTGTGGGATCCCTCTCTCGTGCGCAGGCACCCCCGTTCCACCTCTGAAAGGGTCGCCGCTCGGGTCGAGTATTGACAGTCAGTACCAGGTAGAGAGTTTTAACGGTTCGTGCTGGACGACTCTCAAACGACGTCTTCGAGAGAGTTCAGCAGTTCTTCTCTGTGCGCACGAAGTGGGCACGAGCTCCGACTTCGTTGGCAGGGCTACTGCCAAGGCGCGCAGTCTTGGATGGCATGCACTTTTCGCTCCCAGTCACTACAACCCCGACACAGGTAAGAAGTCTGCAGGTGTCGTTGTCTTCGGTCGATTGGACATTGGCCTCAGGTGGCCGCCAGAAGGAGATGCTCCCATTGCCCCGCATAGGCTCATGAAGGTCCTCGTGGATTTCCCTGGGTGGCCTACTAGATCTCTGTTTTCGGTGTATTTCAAGTCGGCGGAAGGACCCAGCGAGTTCAACCTCGACCTGATGGCCAATTTAGGTCGTGCTGTTCGTGGCCCTGCTCACTCGGTTATCGCGGGAGATTGGAATATGACCCCCGATGTCGTTGAGAGCTCAGGTTTCGTACGGAAGCTGGGTATGCTCCTCATGGCCCCCACAGCGCCCACTTGCAGAAGCCCTACCTCCAGTTCGATTATTGTTTTTTTCGCCTTGGGAGCTGGTGTAGCTAGGCTTGTCTCGGGAGTTCAAGCTGATACGCAGTGGGATATCAAGCCACATCGCCCTGTTGTTTTACAGGTTCGGCCTGATGCTCTTCAGGTCAAGCAGTTGATTTACCGCAGTCACATCAAGTTGCCGCTTGAGCTACCCTTTGGCCCAGTGCCAGAGCCAGGACGATGGGAGGGTGCCCTGCGTCAGGCAGCATATGCCGTTGCGCTTGCACGTCACAGTCCTGCTGATGAGGCGTGGACCGGTCTGAATGCCGCCTGGGCCACGTTCGCGGACTGCGCCGAGTTGGAGCTAGTTCGATCCCTGGGCATCGAGGCCAAGGTTTTGGGAATGAGGGGTCAGTCGATAAAAGCTTCCTGGGCTCCTGTTTTCTACCGTCCCAAGTATGCTGATGACCAGCTCCAAGTCTGCACAGGATGGCGATGGCTTTATCACGCGTTTGCCGAGATTGTGCAGACCACCGCCAGCGCCGCAGAGGGCCAGTCCCAGACCTTGACCCTCCAGGTTTCGTTGCAGCACTCCTGTCCTGGGGAAGGCCTCAACATCAGGCTGGATGCGTCCTTAGAGGAAATAAGAGCCCTCGCGGCTGAGTGGAGTTTAGGCCATCCCCATATGCAGGAGTGGCGCGATAGAGCGGAGTATTTTCTGGACACGATTCAGGAGGACCTCTTGGATGCCAATGACAAAGGGGAGAAGCTCCTCCAACAGTCTTGGGGTGAATGGCAACAGAAGGCTCTTGCAGGCTAAGCGAGGCTCATGCACAGGTTCACCAAGCTCCAGAAGAAGTGGCAACCCACAGTTACTCAAGTGGCCCCAGGGATCTACTCGGCGGGCCCAGTTAAGCTCCAAGAGGCTGAGGCTGCTAACCTTGGAGGCTACTGGAAGGCGCAGACAAGGCCCCCAGAGGCGTGGATACCTGACAGAAGCTGTTTCCCTCGAACTTGTCCCGATCAGATTCGGTTGGCATCGAGGTCTTTCAGTGTTCACACGGCCCAGTCGCTTGACGGCCTGCACGTGCGCCACTTCAGCCTCCTCAGCGATGCTGGCCTGGAGGTGATGTCTCTTTTGTTTGAGGCGGTCGAGCGCCTCGGCCTGTTCCCGATGCAGTCGCTGTGGATGCTGCTGCCGCTTCTCGAGAAGCCGAAAGGCGGTCTTCGGCCCATGCTGCTCCTTGCCGCACCAGTTCGCATCTGGGAACGGCTGAGACGGCCTGAAGTTGATGATTTCCTGGTTCGGTCCCATAGGGCCTGCTGGTCCTTCGGGAAGGGGCTGTCTTCGGAAGCGGTGGTGTGGCAGCAGAGCATGTTGGCTGAAGAAGCCCAGTCCCAGGGCAAGGTCACTGCTGGTTTCATATGGGATGGAACTAAGTACTATGAATAGTTTAGGCTCTCCTGGCTACGCGTGCGTGCTGAGTACTGGGGGATCCCGAGGGTGCTCGTCAAGACCCTGTATAACCTCTGGAGGAGTCCGAGGATACTGAGACTGGGAGCCCACCACAGTCCTCTCCCCCTCTTTGCGGAGTCGGGATTACCAGCTGGAGACATATATAATGATGCGTTCGTTAAGGTTTACACGCTGTTCGAGTTTGATCAGTTTGCTATACGGAACCCACAAGTATCCCTGGGCTCGTACATTGATGATGATACGATCCTCACGTTTGGGTAGGAAGAAACATCATTCAGGATCTGGATAGAGCGGCTGATGATATGAAGCATATCTTTCAATATCGGCTGGGAGTGCAACTAGCTGCTGACGAGGCATCGACTTTTGCATCTTCTCATCGCGTTGCTGCCCTTTTGGCCAAGAAGCTTTCCCGCTACTGCCCGTCTCTCGCCTGCAACTCGGCCATCTCGCTGGGCTGCGACTTAGCCCCGGGACAGCGTCGGGCATGCAGAGGAGGGCGCACAAAAAGGAAGGCTCGTTTCAAAGATATGAGGACCCGTCATGGATTTATCCGATACTTCCGAAAGCAGTTGCCCAGGGACCGATCGCGCATGAGCAAGATTTACATATGTGGGGTCAGGCCTTCTGCGGGCTACGGGCCCATGGTCCTGGGAACGTCTGATCAGGAACTCAACGGTATCAGGCGCGTGCTGCTCTCAGGTCTTTCGCCAGCGCATAGAGGTGCGTCGCTCACGGCAAAGGTCTGTATTCATGGAGATCCTGCATGGCTTCAGGCGACGGCACCTGCCAGACAATGGTCGACCAGTTTGTGGGGAAGTCTGACGACGCCGTCCACCAGCCCTTTCTCTTTCAGGGATCACATCAGGCTCTGGAGGAACCTCGAGGCTCAGGAGTTACGTCTGGGACCAGCTGAGTGGAGGAATTCTCGGGGACCAGGTCATCGAATGCTTCTGAGCTTAGACCGTATAGGCTGGAAGGCACTTAGTTTTAGTAGGTGGCAAGATGATAAGGGCAATGTTGTTGATTTGTTATACCACAGCCCAGCCATGGTTGCTAGCCTTTTGCAGTCAGGAGTTCAGAGATGCCACGAGAGGCGATTCGCGGCGAGCCCCCCCTCGTTTGATGGTGTGCGTGTGCGTGTGGACCCCCTTCCGCTCCCTCCTCCGCTCGAAGCGAACCCCGCCGCGAGCTAAGCATTGGATCTGCTCCTGTTTTTCAAGTGGCTGCTGGGCGGCAGACCGTTTGAAAGAGTCAGGCTACTTTTCAGACGGCCTTGGTCCCAAGTGCGGCCAACCTGATTCTATTTTCACCGTCAGTGGTTATGCGATGACCCAGAGGTTCCAACGGCCCGCAGCGAAGCCGTTGAGCCTAGTCTGATCGAGGCTGCCCGTCATTGCCAGCCCGCAGACATATTGTTTTGGTCTCGATTGATGATGGCTCAGCCCGACGATGACTCCTTCCCCCCCCTCGGTGGCGTCGGACCCCCTCCTCCAGGATGCGAATGGGCAGCCGTTGTCTCTCGAAGAGTTTGTAGAACGGAGTGAGAGCTGCGACTTGGCGGTCGACGGCTCGGCCACCCAGTGCCCAATTTCAGAACTCAGCCGCGCTGCTTTCGCGGGATTTTATTTAGAGCCAGGGGATGTTTACCAGGTTCGGACCCGTTTCATGGCCACTGTGTGGCCTGTGTTGCACCAAACGCCCCAGGCGGCCGAAAATTTGGGCCTGGCCACTGCTTGTGCTTTTAGCTCGGGCATGAGCTCCCCTTTCAGTGATTGCAAAGGGGCCGTGCGTCTGCAGAATCTCTCGGATGAGGCGCAGCTCTGCCCGCGGGAGATGTTTGCTGGCTTCCGTCGTGCTGCGCAACAATCTCCTGGATTTGATGCCCTGGGGGAGGCCCAGCATACGCCCGCCCATCGGTCGGATGCTATCATACAGGCCCTCCCCCCAGACCAGAAGCGAATAGCGCTCGCTAGCCAGGACGCCGATCGCCTGGCCAAGCACGCCCTCTCGCTTCATCCTCAGCCTGCACCTGCTGATCTGGAGAGGCTGGATAGGCAGGTGCAGGACCTCCGTGCGTGTGCGCTGATGTTTGGGAAGGTGCTCTCTCTGTTTCCTAAGCTGAACTTCGAGAGACCCCCGAGGGAGAAGAGGCTGCCTAGAGTTCCCCTCCCGCCTGATTGGCATGATTGGGAGGAGCTCAGTGGTGACCGACCCGCTTTCAGATGTAAGAAATGTTTTCAGGATTTCTTTTGAGGGCGAGTCCCGCCCGATGAATGGCTGTGCTGTTCTGTCCACGGCCCTGAGGCGCCTCCAGGGTGCAGAGACCGAGAGACAACACAAGTTGGGTTTTGCTATCCTGCACAAAACCCAAAGACCGCTGTTCTTCTGTTTTGCCTGCGGAGCTTACACCAGCAGGCGATGTTTCTTGCTCGGCCAGACCTGTCTCAAGAAGCTGAGCTCTGCGGGTGAGCAGGCGCTCACAAGACTTCAGTCTGGCCTCCACCCTCATTACAGAAAGAATACTGAGGGTGATGATATGCTGGCGCCTGCTAGAGCGCCGTCGAAGTCGGTGCTTCTTGCCCCTCCTGGCCCCCTCGCTGCTGGGTCGTCTCGCCTGGTCGACTCTGACCGTTTGCGAGCGTTGGCAGCGCGTATCCAGGCCAAGGAGGAGGCATCCAGGCGATAGCTGCTGCCTGAAGCTGACGTTCTGCCGCAAGGTCGTCCCGTCCTTCTCCTCCTCCCCCTCCTCCTCCTCCTCCTCTTCCTCCTCCCCCTCCTCCTCCTCCTCCTTCCTCCTCCTCCTCCTCCTCCTCCTCCTCCTCCTCCTCCTCCTCCTCCTCCATGTGGGAGACCCGGGCCCCCTCGCGCTGAGACAGAACAGCGACGGGAGGTCCTTCGCTGTTCTCGGCCCTCGGGGGCCCTCGCCGGGCCTCGGGAGCGGCAGAGAACGGCTCGGGACGAGGAGCCGGTCCCGGGGAAGGGGTCCAGACCTCTCGGGGTCGGCGCTGCGAAAACATCGCGGCGTCGGGGGTCTGGGGAGTGACGAGTGACCTTTCGCCGGAGTGGCCCTTGGCGCGGGCCCAGTGGGGTCCCCCGATCGCCGAGCGCGAGGCGGCGGCAGCGGCCTGCGCGCCCAGGTGTTGCCACCCCGCGTCCCCCGGGAAGCCGCGCACCAGCAAGGTCGCTCTTGCCTGGGGTTACGTCGGGCCTGTCCCTCTAGAGGGGGAAGATTGAACAAATCGTAAAAAAATGGTCTGGGGACTGCTTTTTGATTTTTTAATATCAATTTGGGGGCATGTGTTTGTATCTTGTATTTTTCGTTGAAAATCCCCCTGTAGGGGGGCACGCCCGAGGGTCACTCTTGCGTGTAGTCGACTTGCACGTCCCTCGACCTGGCCTGGCCGATCGCGGCGCGCCTCCGCCTCGGGGACCATCTTGGCCGCCGAGGGGGCCATCTCTCGACCTGCACCTTCCGCGCAGACGGTGCCGCCGTGAAAAGGCCGCGGCCGCCGCTGCGGCCGCCTCGACGATGGCTGCCAGTGCGGCCGCGGCGGCGGCCGTGGCAGCGCGGCACCTGCCGCGCGGAAGGTGCGGAAGGTGCAGGTCGAGGGATAACCACACCTGGAGGATGGATTTTCGGAGACTTCGACAGGCGGTGGATATGGATGTATTCGGGCCCTTTGGGTCCCAGATGTGTCCATGTTAACTGCCCGCTGGGCTCCCAGGACGTCGTCTCCACAGGCGGTGGAAATGGATATATGATCCAGGGTCGAGGGCCCACGGCCCCCCCCCCCCCAGATGGTATGGTCCCAGGATTCCTCGGGCCCCCCCCCCCCCAGATGGTATGGTCCCAGAGACGACGACGACGACGACGACGACGACGACGACGACGACGACGACGACGACGACGACGACGACGACGGCTGCGACGACGGCGACGACGGCGACGACGGCGATGACGACGACGACGACGACGACGACCACGACGACGACAACGACGGCTGCGGCGGCGACGACGCCGGCGGCGGCGGCGACGACGACGATGACGACGATGACGACGGCGACGACGACGATGACGACGACGACGATGACGACGACGACGATGACGACGACGACGACGAGGACGACGAGGACGACGAGGACGACGACGAGGACGACGACGACGACGACGACGACGACGACGACCTCTGAACCACCACAGCACCACACCACATCCACAGGGGGGGGGAGGGGGGCACCGCAGTGCAACACCACGCCACGCCCACCTCTGAACCACCACAGCACCACACCACATCCACAGGGGGGGGGGGGAACCGCAGCGCAGCACCACGCCACGCCCACAGGGGGGGGCGGGGGGGACCATCGCGCGGGGGGGGGGGTCCAATGGCATCAGCATTGGGGGGGGGGGGGGCCCAAACCCTGGACCATATATCCCCGTCTCGCATTCTGGTGCGGGCCCTGGCGGCATCATTTTTCCAATCTCGGTAGTTGTTCCTCGATTCCAGCCTTCGGGGGCCGCCAAAATCGGGCTCCGGGGCCGCCGAAAGCGATTCTTCCGTGTGAGAGACTGACCCCACGGAGGAAGGAAGGGGTCGGCAGGTCTGGGGGCGCGGATTGAGAACATCGCATCGTGGGTTGGCTGGGTCTGGAGCCCCACGACGACGACGACGACGACGACGACGACGACGACGACGACGACGACGACGACGACGATCCCTGCATTGGGCGCTGCAGTCTTTTCACACCGGGCGTTTTCGCCCGGCTCCGGGCCCCCAGGAACCATCGCACCTCGATCGGGGGTCCCCGAGCGGGTTGGTGACCACACCGTGCGGTAAGTCGTAAGTCGGTGGGGATTCGGGGTCACCGCACGGTTTTGGGACTCGAGTCCCTCTCCGAGGACGCCTCGGGCGACGTGGGCCTCCAGGCTCTTGCAAGACCGCGCGGTGGCGGACCGTGTAGTGAGGTCTTGGGGGATGTCGAGGTCACCGCACGGTCCGTCACCGCACCGTTTCGGGACTCCCAACTCGATCAGGCTCGAAGACTGCAGCGTTATGTCGGGCATGTCCCCCTACAGGGGGATTTTCGACGAAAAAAATACACCCAAAATGCACCAAAAAGGCAACAACCAAAAAACTGCGTATTTTTTATTTTTTCGTCGAAAATCCCCCTGTAGGGGGACAGGTCCGACTTCACTGCAGCGGGAAGGTGGGGTCCAGGGCTGCGGTCGCGATCTGCCGCGGGGCCGCCATGCTTCCGCGGCGTCGGGCCTCGGGGTCTGGCCACCTGGGGGGGGGGGGCCCATACAGGGGGAAGTTCAAACATAGCCTGGGCCTGGCCACCTGGGTCGGGCCTGTCCTCCCACAGGGGGGAAGTTCAGAAATGGTCAAGCAATAGTCTGGGGACGATTTGGGGGGGTATTTTTGCCCCTTTGGGGGGTACGTTTGGAGTACTTCTGATTCTTCGCCCGGAATTCCCCTGTATAGGGGGGACACGCCCGACTGCATGGTTGGCCCACCCGCGCCCCCCACCTGACGCCGCGCACCACGGGCCTCTCTGGCGGGGCGCCGCTCCTGCCTGCAGCCGATCTGGTGGGCTTCGCGCCTGCGCGCGGGGCAGCCGCCCCAGGCAGTCCCGGCGGGACTCGGCAGGGCCCCCCCGAGCAGGCCGGAGCGGTCCGAGCACCTCAGCCTTGGGGCGCGGAGCGGCCCAAGGGGCGCCGCTAGACCCAGACCCCCGACGTCATGAATTTTTCATGACGCGACCCCCAGAGGTCCCGACCCCTTCCCCGGGACCGGTTTTTCGTCCTGAGTCGTTTTTTGACGGTCCCGAGGCCCGGCGAGGGCCCCCGGAGGCCGAAAATAGCGAAAAACCTCCCGTCGTGATTTTTTCACGACGCGAGGAGGTCTGGGGAGGCGGCGCAGGGCCGTTGAGACCGCCCCAGACGACTGGGGATCCGTCGAGTCCAGCCGGGGATCTGCTCGGAGAGGCTGCCTCTGCGCAGCCCGAGAGGCCTCACACACGCCGAGCCACGTCCGCGCGGCCGTCGCTTCCACGGCTCGCGCCCGTCTGGCAGCTTGGCTCGATGCTCGAGCCGCCCCGCCTCAGCCACGGGGGGCAGTCTGCCTTTATATATCTGCTCGTGCCCGGCACACTGTCTCTGTGTTGCCTGCCCACGGCGTGCCCCGCTTCTGCCGCTCGCGCCGTGTGCCTCCGTGGCTTCTCCGTCGCAGTCTTTGCCAGGCCGCCCAGGGGCCCTTCAGGATGCATGGGGGCTTCGGGCGTCCCAGTGTGTACTGGAAACCCCTCGCGTTCACCGCCCGCCCGTTCGAGTGCTCGCCGGAAGGGACGCAGACGGCGCCAAGACTGGGTGACAATGTTCCGAAAGGAACGACCGTCTCCACCACATGTGCGTGCTTGTGTTTTTCCTGCGCTCCGTTTCTCCTCCGCCCCGTCGCAGATTGGGATCAGGTGTGCCGTGCGGCGGATCGATGGAGTTCGTCGCTTTGTCGTCGGCCCGCCTTCCTTACCCGCGGATCAGTGGCATAGAGAGCGGGAGGCCTGAGACAGCCAGAGCTCTGCCCGAGGCCAGCCCTGCAGGCAGCCCAGAAGGCGCCCGCGAGGGCCGGAGAGCACCCCGAGGGGGGCCCAGAAGGGGGCCCAGAAGGGCTCGAGGCGGCCTGGGGGAGCTTCTGGTGATGGGCCTGTTTTCCACCACCACCACCACCACCACCACCACCACCACCACCACCACCACCACCACCACCACCACCATAAGTTGGAGGGGGAGGGGGTCCTCCTCCTCCTCCTCCTCCTCCTTCTCCTCCTCCTCCGCCTCCTTCTCCCCCTCCTCCTCCTCCCCCTCCTACTCCCCCTCCTCCTCCTCCTCCTCCTCCTCCTCCTCCTCCTCCTCCTCCTCCTCGTCCTCCTCCTCCTCCTCCTCCTCCTCCTCCTCCTTCCCCCATCCAACTTACGGTGGTGGCGGTGGAAAACAGGCCCATCATCTGGGCGGCCCGCGCGAGAGCACTGCCGCGTCGTGCTGGCAACCCCGCCCGAATGCCATTAGACACAGGGCCGGTTCGAAGAGAGTTTGGGCCTCGACTTTCAGGGGCAACGATAGGGGGGGATAGGCATAGGGGGGGGTGCATCGACCCCCAATCGCCCATTGATCGCTAATAGGGGCCCGATTGCCCCAACCTGCCCAGGAAGGTGCGGATTCACTCTCGGGGGCCTATCGCCGATCTACCGGCGATGTATCGCCGATTCCAGGTCGATGCATCCCCCCCTATGCCAGTCCCCCCCATCGTTGCCCCCTATCGTTGCCCCCCAGTCTTGGGCGTCAAGTTGGGCCCAGCATCGTCCAAAATTGACCCTGGAGCGCGCCCCAAAACGTCGAAGTCTGCGTTGGAGAAATACCTCGGACGAGCCCGAAACTAGCTCTTAGATGCATCCGGGCGACCCCCGACAAGGCACAGATCACAAACACATACGGCTTTGGCAATATTTTTGTAGCTTCGAGTTTGTAGCCAAGAGGGGCCCCGAGAGGGGTGGACATGGAGCCAAATTGCTCCCCGAGAGCTCACTGGGGACAACCTGAAGTCCGAGCTCGTGTTGGACGCCGTCTGGAAGCCGTCTTGGGCAAGACAAGGGTTGACAAGGAGCTCTCGCAATGCAGTCTCCCACGCCCCTCGGCCTGGTGGGCGGGCGGGCTCAAGAGGCCTGCGTCATTCCGCCAACTCCCAGCAGAGGAACGAACTTCTCGGGCGATGCCTTTTGAGGGGACCGTCTGAGGCCTCTGGGGGCTTCTTTCTGGCCTCTTCAGGGCTCGTTTCGATTCCTCCGATTCGATTCGATTCGATTTCGATGGTTTCCGATTCCGATTCGATTCGATCTGGGATTCCGATTTGAGTTCCGATTTCTTATTGGAGGCATACTAGCCTGCCGATTCCTGCCGATCCGACTTTTCCCGACTCAGCTGCCGATTTCCGACGATCCGATTCATGTCGATCGCCGATCCGACTTGTCGATCCGATCCTGGGCTCTCCTGCCTCTTGAACGCCTTCGGGGGCCTCTTGGGGGTGTCTTGGGCGCCCGCTGGCGGTCTCGGGGGTCGTTTTGGGGCCTGACGTGTCACTTCGAAGCGCCACTCTTCGTCATTGCGATTTCTCTGCGGCGTACCCCGCTTCTGCCGCTCATGCCGCGTGGCTTTTTGGCTTCTCCGTCGCAGTGTTTGCCGGGCCGCCCAGGAGCCATTCGGGATGGCGGCTTCGGATGTCCCAGTTTTCACTGCACTGCTCTGAAAATGCACTGCAATTTTGCAGGTGCATTAGTTGCTTTTCGTCGCCTTTTTTTTTCATAGTGTTTGGCCTCTGGGGGCCGTTTTCGGGACACGTCACCGTCGAAAAGATACCGGGATGAGAAACTCCCCCCAGGGAAGGAAGTCCGCCAGACGATTCTTCGACACGACCTGCAAAAGTTGCATTACTTTTCCACGGGCTTCAGATGCAAGATTGTACAGTGCAGGAGCCCCTCAGAGATTTGTGCTCTACTTAACCTCCTTGCCAGACAAGGGAGTGGAGGAAGGCGGGAGATCGTGCCGCACTCCTGGGATCGGCCGTGGCGGTGTTTTCAGATTCTGCGGACGCTCGGAAAAGTTGCGCGTCCTCCTCCTCCTCCTCCTCCTCCTCCTCCTCCGTCCCGCCATTTTGTCTTTAGGGCTACGCGTGCGAAATCTTCTCTGCTCGTATCCGCCTCCACTTCCCCGCGTCTCCTTCCAGGTACACACATACGCATCCCCGCTGTACTGCTGGCTCTCCCCGCTCTCAGGCCCTGGGGACCCACTGGTTGCAGTCGGGGCGCTCCCGAAAAGGGGCTTACCTTCGAGGATCGAAGGAGTCGCCACCTCCTCCGCGGCGGAATGTCGGCGGAAGTAACCCGAGGCCGCCTCCGCTGGCGGCAGCTCGGCGGAAGCCAGCCGCAGCAAAAGTCGACCTCAGAGATGACAGCATGTTTGGGTTCAGGGGTATTCCAGAGTCGGCCATTTCGGTCCGCATGTGGCTTGGCACTGTGCGCCCGTATCTCTCTGTTTTTGTTCGACCGATGGTCAGCACTCTTCTCTGCCTAGCTTTGGGCAGTCGCTGTCGGTGCGAACCCTCTTTTTTATAGCGCGAAGTCGCCGGCTGTGAGCAGCCCGTTGACATCACTTATAACAAACCCGCCGGCTCGAGGCAGCTCGAGAGCTCGGCCCCGTTGCAGCTCGGCGAGGTGGCCGAGGCGCGATTCTAATGCTGCGCGCTTGCGGCGGCGCTCGCAAGGGGCCATTTTTTGTTTTAGTCTGGCGGGTCCGAGCCCGCCCAAGGGTGGCCCTCTCACCCCTAACATTAAGGCGGGCCTGTCCCTTTACAGGGGGAATATTCGAAAATAGTCAAAAAGTAGTCTGGGATTTTTTTTCTAGTATTTTGGGCATCTTTTGGATATGTGTTTGGGGTATGTTTTATTTCTCGTCCAAAATCCCCCTGTAGGGGGACAGGCCCGACCTAGCCCTAACAAAGTACAGGACTTCCGGACGGGGTCCCGGCTCATGGGGTCGGAGGATCGCGCTTCATCGCCGATGCATCGGGGATGCGGCTCGATGCGGAGCCCGATCTTCTCCTTGCCGAAGGCGGCGATGTGTCGCCGACGTCGGCGATGCATCGCCGATGCATCGCCGGTGTATCGCCGATGCGGCGGGATCCTCCGACCCGATTTGCTCGGACCCCATTTGGGAGGCCTCCAGCCCTGCGTGACCCTCCTCTCAGACCGCCCATAGGGTCGAGCAGGACGGCTGGACTCTGCCAAGGCGGCACAGAGTCCTCCAGGATGATTCCGACACGTCCCCAAGAGACCCACAATATCAGAGTTTGCCTCAGCAGCCCAACCCATTGGTGTTCTATATCTGCTTCAGGCAGCTTTGGGAGCGCTGCAGAGGCGCCAGAGACGTCCCAAGGAAGCCCGAAGACGGCCCCCAACGCAGGCGAAGATCGCCTCAAGTGCGCCCCAAGACGAGCCAAGGCAGCCAAATATGGCCAAAGGGAGGAGAAGGAGGATAGAGCGTGTTTCTTTATTGCTTGGGGCATAATGGGCCCCTCCCCCGCCCAGTGCGCTCCGGGCACTGCCGCCGTGCGCACGGCGGGGGGGAGGCGTTACATTATGCCCCCCCCTGGCCCCTCCCCCCCCCCATAATGCCCACTGCCTCCGGACATAAAGAAACTCGCTCATATGTGATCAGGTCGACCGGAATCGACTACCTCCCCGCTTCCTCGGCGGAAGGCCGCGGAAGGCCGGCGGCAGGCGGTGGAAGTAAAACGTCAAGCAGTGGCGAAGCGCCATGGCTGGCCTATAGGCCCGCCAAAGAATGTTCTAGGAACCTTTTGTGGTCTGCACGACATGTTCTTAGAACGTTTCTGGCCGCGATTGTCTTGTTTTAACACGTCGGGCTTCTTTTCCAAGAACATTGTCTTTGTTCTTAGAACATTTGGGGGTTCGAAGAACATGTCGTGGTAGGCCTACAGGAGTGTTAGGACGGCCGGCCCCTGCTCAAAAAGGGTGGCGGCTCCGCTGGCGGAAGCCGGCGGAAGCAAACGTCAACTTCCGAAGAGATGACAGCATGTTTGGGTTCCGGGTCTCCAGAATTGGCCACACGGCGCTCGGCTGTACATATCGCTGGTCGTGCACGCGTGCACCCCGCCAGCACCACGCTCTTCCGTACCTTGCTTGGGCCCTCCCGCCCAGCCCCGACGCAAGTCGGCTGCACGCTCGAGGGCAGCGAGTCCGCCGTGTCAAGAGGCCCCCTTCCTCTCGGCACGCCGGGCCGCCTCGCGCTGCCGCCTTGCCGCCGGCTCTTATCCTTTTTGGCTGCCGTGCTTGGCCCCGACGGTCCGATCACCCAGGACCTAAGTCTTACGTCGGGCGTGTCCCTCTACAGGAGGAACATTCAAAAATAGGCAGGGAATACTGCAGGCACGATTTGCGTTGCTTGTCTTGGCTATTTGGGGATATGTTGTGACTTTTGTTAGTTTTTGTCGCCCCACATCCGCCTGGAGGGGGACACGCCCGACCTTAACCCAGGCCTGATCTCGGTCACGCTCGCAAGACAGACTGCGGCATGGGATCCGAGCCCTTCGGGCAGCAAGTGCGCGGGCGGTGGCGACGAGGACCGCGGGCTCGGTGTCGTCGCGCGCTGTTCCACAGCGCACCGCGCCAGTGCTCCGGGCGGCCTTGCGCTCGGCTGCTAACTGCGTCGCGTTCCGAAGCAATTCGCCTGGCGCGGTGTAGAACATATCATCGCATCCATCGATCAAGTTGTGCCCGTCCCCCTCTTCGCTCCTCCCCGGCGACCGACCAGACGCGTGTGTGCCAGGCGAGCGCGCGTCTTTCATGATATTTCGACGATGCTCACTTCTTGAGTCTCAGGTCTCAGGTGTGTGGGTTGCGCATCAGCCCGTGCCGAGAAAGGTCTTCATCTGAAGTGTGCTGAGCATTTGGCAATGATGGGCCGTTTCGCGATCTTGGGGCCATATTGAATCCCAAGAGGCCCATCTGAATCAGAATGGAAAAAGGGCAACAATCATTGAAGCGAGCTTGTCTGTTTGGCCGATTAGGGTCTGTTGGGGGTATCTTTGGGAGGCTTCGTGGCCATCTCGGGCCGTCTCGAGGCCGTTTTGGTGCATCTTGAAGCCCATGCTGGAGACCACCCTGAACCAATTGGGACATATTTGGTTGCCACCTTGCAGGCCATCTCTAGCCCGAAAATAGCCTTCTACACCCCGCGGGAACCTTGGCCCAGACCCCTGCAGAGAGGGACTCTCCTTCCTGCCGCGGGCCAGCCCCGCCAGCCAACGACGGTGAAGGGCGCCAGTGTGGGATGCGCCCCGCCCTGCCTTGGTGGGGCTCCCCCGGCGGCCCAGCAGCGTCGCTTCCAAGATGGGCGCACGATCCCTCGGCCTGCACGCACAAATAAGTGCACACAAATCCCAGGATGCCCCATATTCTTCCATGTTTTCTGGGTTTTGGTCTTCCCCCCTTGTTTTCCCACATTTTCCAATATTTCCCTGGGGATCGACGATCAATTGTGTCTGTGTGTTTTTTCCCCTCCTGAGAGGAAGCCATTCCTCGGCCTGCACGGGCCGCGCCTTCCGCGCGGAAGGTGCCGCCGCGATGCCGCCGCGATGCCGCCGCTGCGGCCGCCGCTGCGGCCTCGACGGTGGCCGCCGCTGCGGCCGCGGCGGCGGCCGCGTCAGCGCGGCACCTGCTGCGCGGAAGGTGCGGCCGGTGCAGGTCGAGGAATGGCTTCCTCTCAGGAGGGGAAAAAACACCAGACACAAGTGCTCTTCGATCCCCAGGAAAAGGTAGGAAGACAGGGGGGAAGATGAAAAAACCCAGAAGATGCGGGAAAATGTGGGGCATCCTGGGATCTGTGTGTGTATCCGTTCGTGTGTTCCTGGGCCCCATGTATCCTTCGCGGCGGCCGAGGTGGCTCCCAGGACTCGGGGGCCCCCGAGCCCCCAGAGACGGAGGCGCGCCGCGACGTCGGCCAGGCCTGCATTGGGGGCCCCGAGGCGGGGCCGGGCCCGCCCCCTTCACCCGCCCCTCGCTCTCGGAGAAGCTTGGGCTGAGGCTTTTCCCCGCGCTCTCGGCCTCTCCCGGCCCGCGCTGGGCCTCTCGGGACTCGGGGCCGTCGAGGAGCGGCTCGGGAGGAACGAGCCGGTCCCAGGGGAGCGGTCGAGAGGTGGGGCCCGTGTCTCGGGCAGGAGCAGGCAGAGCGCCATGAACGTAGACTTTTGGCGCTCCGCGCGGATCTCTCGGATCCGCGCGGGGCCCCCCCCCCGGCGGCGCCTCTGGCGCCGCCCCTGGCGCGCTCCGCGCGCCAGGGAGGGGGGTCCAGCGCGGATCCAAGAAATCCGCGCGGAGCGCCAAAAGTTTATGTTTTTGGTTTTCTTCTTCTTATTATTATTATGATTCTTCTTATTCGTTTTCTCATGTTTCTTCTTATTATTATCATTATCATTATTATGTTTTGTTTCCTCTTATTATTCTGAGTATTGTTATT